CTCCCCTCCATGGACTGTCTGTGCTGATCAGAGTCCGTTCCGTGGCAACTCCTGAATACTCTCCAGGCCTTTAAGACTCGGGGAAGCTCACGGGCACCCTCCTGTTCCGGTAACCACGCCTTCCCCCGCTGAAACCCACGGCTTTCCAAGGCCCTCCCTGAATCTCCAGCCAGGAGTTTCTTCTCCCAACTGCCACAGAAGTTTCTTCTGCTGTTTACCTATGCCACGGCTCTCACGACAGGCAACCTTTACCTGGAAATATTTTTATCTCCTCCCTTGTACCGTTAACATTGTAGTTGCATGAAGGCAGGAGCTGTGTTTAATTACCTGACTGTTTATTGGGACACAAACTACGCTTACCTTTCTACATGCATTTTTCTCTACGCATACAAGAAGCCCATGAGTGGGTATTATAATTCTCATTGTGCAGACAAAGAAATCCCAGTAAAGAGAAGTTCAAGAGTTTGTTCTGAGCCATGTAACTTTTGAGTGGCTGAGTCACAGTTCAAATGACTTTGATCTTCTTGATATACCACCCTACACAGCAGTCTTCTCGGAATCTCTTCCAGCATGCAGATAGTGATGGAGAGACGGATACTGAAACTATCCCATTGACCCAAATCCAAAGTGTTACCTTCCTTTACCAAGAGTTTATTAAACCACATACCAAAATAGAATGTGGAACATCCTTTTAATTCTAAATAAGCCTCCCCTCCATTACAGAGAATCCATACCCCTCGAAGCCAAGAATGAGTGGGTACTCCCTCTGTAAGCAACGCTGACCAGTGGAAAGACTTTGGAGGGCCAGGATCCACTTCACATCCCTCTAGGAATTTACCAGGAATTTCTCAGGTTTCTGTCGTCGTTGAGTCCTGAGCAGCTGAGCCTTGTCCTAGTCTGAAAGACATAGCAGCCAACACCTCCCTCACAGGTGGCAGAGAGAGCGCTGTTAGGAGCTGGTGTGCAAACTTGGCATAGAGCGGGCCCTCGGGAAACGCTCGTTTTCTCCCATCTCTAGTTCCAAGGAACTTAAGAAACTGTGAAAGCAGCCAAATATTCAAAACACAAAACACCAGATAACAGGCTTCTCCTGACTTTCCAGCTCAGCACACATACCTGCCCCCCTGACCCCTCTGCTGTCCAGTCTGACCGGCCCCAAGTCACTCCGTAGACTCTGACAGGTGCGATTTCTTGACAACTCTGTCCCTTTTCCATTTGGCTTGTCCTTACGGGGTTTTCCTTTGTCTTGAATTCTACGGATGCTTGAAACTAAGACCAATTTCAGTTTGCTTGCATGTTTGCATTGCGGTTGAAATGGAAGTCTAAAAAAAAAAAAAAAACGAAGAAAAAAAAAAACCCTCCAAAAGCCTCAAACTTCACCAAAGAGAGAAATCCTATGATCTTTAAAGAGCCTACACAGTGTCTGCTATCTAAGAGGAAAATTGTTCTCTCGATTTGGCCAAACCTTCCTGTTCCGGTCCAAGGAGAAAGCGCTGTTTCCGCTCCACCTGGCCCCATAGATGTGCGATAGATGGATATTCCCACATCCTCCATGGAGATTTCTAGGGAGGGAAATTTCAAGCACGTGTCTCGGAAACCAATCTCCCAAGCGCTATGAATGAAGCGTATCAGTCATCATTTTCCTGCCCACCTCTTTTCTGCAGCCCGGAGGCCGTGCTCACCTGTTGTCTTTGGACATAACCATCGGAGGAACAAGTCCAAGGGGATGCGTGGGGAGGCCGCCCCGCCCCGGTTTTCTCTTATCTAAGTTCAATGCTAACTCCAGACAGGAAGCCCAGCAGCCCGCAGCCTCCTTCGCGATCCATAATAGATGACCTTCCCGGAGCCCACGTTGAGAACAGGAGTTGCCTGTGCACGTTTTGGCAAAGGCACAGACCTGGGATTTCGTCGGAGCTGCTGTAACGTAAAACAACCCCGTGCAAACGCAAACAACGAAAATGGGCGCCTGTTGCAGCTCCAAGTGTGCCAGAGCTGACCACGTTAATTCCGGACGCTTCCTGCCGTGCTCAGGAATTGAACTGGCACTTTGTGGGGTGCCACGGGGTGAGGGTTGGCACGGAGCCCCCCTCCTGCTCCCCTGGCAGCCCCTGCTCCTCCCCCGCTCCTCCGGCAGCTCCCGCTCCTCCCCCGCTCCTCCCCCACTAGTTCAAAGCACACGGAGAGGTGAGCGCAGGACAGAACGAGACACCTTTGCTTTTTTTCCGGGCGGACTGGAGTCCACCCAGGAAAAAAGCGGGGTAGGTCGATGAAAAGCGTAGGCGAGCGTTCCCAGTCTTTCCACTGTGTGCTCGACCGTGGAAATCATGAAGCCGCCCGCAGTCATCTGAACAGCCGTTTATGGCTCACAAACACTTTACAAATGGAGTCTCTTAATCCTCGCACGGAGCGCCAAGGAACATGTTTTTACTGCCCCTTGTGCAGACATGGAAATGAAGGCTCCGAGGGCTTGGGAGACTTTCCTGAGGATACACCGCCGCTGGGTGCCAAGAATGGGCGAGACACCTGTGCCGGAGGCGGCCTCCCCTTTCCCCGGGGCCCCCCGAGACTCGGTCTGATTTTCTGCCTCAAAGCCAAGCTGTAAAAGTGAGGACTTAGAAAATGTCTGGGTAGAAATCCGACTCGCATACTTTCAGGAGAGAGATAATGCTGAGTTTAAATTGAGAGAGAGGAAAAAAAATCACTGAATACCTTTCCCATTTGCACAGGAAAAGGTAATACGCCGAAAACCGATTGTTTTTAATGCCCTGGTTTGCTGTGTCACTGTGCCCCAAGGAGGCAGACGTGGGGATGCTCTGTAATAAAGGACTTCTGTCATGTCACTGGGAAATCTGTCATCCCGTGGGTTGATTCTTCTGGTCTTCTGTCCTTTTTTTCCTCCCTTCCCTTGTCAGTGTTCTGGGTCGTTCTGGGGAACTTGCACCTGAGCTCCCATTCTGTTCAGACGTACCCACTGTCTTCCCCAGAGGTCTGAGGGGCGACGCAAAGCCTTCCGTCGCCTTTGTGCACAAGGGAAAGAGAGCCTGGCTTGAATCAGGAAGACCTTTGGGATCTCCAGTCAAAAGCGTTTCGGCTAACCCCTTCTCAGAAACCCTGGGCTGTCCTAGTCCACGGGGGCTGGGGAGAGGGCCCCAAACCCACTGTGAAATACCATTCCACTAAATATCTGCTCTGAGTTCTCTTTCTCTCTCTCTCTCTCTCTCCTTTTTTTAAAGTTACGTCAGAGTTCTGACTGGCGCTATCAAGACAGAAAGGGGAATCGTGGAGGTGCTTCTGGGGCTGATTCAAGGCTGGGTCAGGGACCCAAGTGATTCTACAGCCAGATTCTGACCAACTAGAGTGCACAGGGAAAGCATGTTCCAGTTATTTTAATGTTCTGGTTAATTGGGGACTAAGTAGGGTATATTGAACATAATTAAATCTTTCTCTGATTGAGAATCTTGCAGTGCCCTGGAGCGATCATTCTAAATATCAATTATAAATCCCCACTGGTGGGGATTCAAGAGCTTGAGCTCAACCAGTGGCGGCTTCCAAGGCAACGGTGGATTCATTCCGAAGTTCACTCCCACTCCCCACACTCCTAGCCCAGATGCTTTCTTGTCTTTCACGCACTGGGTAAGTCAACCAGGCCTGTTTTTATAAATCCTCACCCAAGGATTTGTTTCTTGATTTTTAGAGAGAGAGAAAAGGGAGAGGGGAAGACAGAGAGAGATCTCAAAGAGAGAGAAAGATGGATCGGTCGCCTCCCATGCACACAGCCCAGACCGGGGATAGAGCCTGCAATCTGGGCATGCGCCTTGACGGGAAGTCAAGCCCACAACCTTTTAGGACGACCCTTCAACCACCTGAGCCACCCGGCCAGGGCTACGTCCGCCGGATCTCGAGATTGTTTGGGGCTAGTCCCCGTTCCCCAGTGACGTAATTACGTGACCTTGGCGAGGCCTTTTCATTTCTGAGACTCCATTTCCTTATCTGCACACTGGAAGGCTAGACTTATTCATTCCATAACTTTTTAGGGATATAGATCTCCTTAAGAATCGGAGGAAAACAAAAGCAGTTTTTTTTTTACAGCAGGGGAAAATGAACGTACGTACAAAATGTTTACATTCTAAATCAGTGGTGTGAGAAGTCCATCTTCTGTGACCCCTGTTCATGGGCCTCAGATTTGGACGACCCCTTGGGCCCCTCCGAGGCCTGGCAGTCTCCACCTCTGGTTAAGCCCAAGCTTCTCGCTCCCCAGGGCTCCCAGCCCCGGTTCCTGGCCTTAGCTGCACATTGAGACAATCTGGGGAGTTTTCGAAATTTCAACGCCCAGATGGCTCCCAGACCAACTGAATCTGAGTCTTGGTGGGTGGGTCCCCGGATGGTTCCAGGGTACGGACAAGAGTTCTCAAAATTCGGAATGAACAGAACCACCCTGCGGGGCATCATACTGCCAGGTCCCTGCCCCCGGCGATTCTGATGCCTTCGGGCCAGATCCCACCTGGGAAGAGACCCTATTAGCAGGCAACCCCGGGCAGCTGGAATGCAGACCACTCTTCGGGGGCCCAGGAACAGACACCTGGCAGGAGCAGCCCAGAGAAGACCACTTCCCTGCTAGCCCTTCCCTCCGGGGCCCCGTGCTCCCGCGGGGGTTCTGCCGTGTTCAGGAGGAGCTTCGGCACGTCCCCGTTTGCCAGAGAGGCTTTTTCTCCGGCTTTTTCCCATCTCTTGCGAACCTGGATCTTTTAGCCTGAGCCTCTGATCCCACCAGGTTCAATAATTTAAGCAGAGCACTCATCAACATCGTCCCGTTAAATATTTAAACGCCAGAGCATCACTTGGATCAGCCTCAAGGTGAGGAGAGCTGCTGCTGACTCCTGAGCTATTATTACTGGTGAGCACACCGGCCCCCGGTGCCGGAGGGGCCTGCGGTAGCCAAGGCAGGCCTGGCTCGCAAAGACCCAGCCCGCCGGGTTGGGCGCCCCTCTACCTCTTCCTACCTGAAGTGTGTGCAGCAGGACCTGCAACCCGCTGCCTTCTTGTTCTGCCATCCCCTCCTGGTGTCCCGGGGAACCGGCTGCCTGCGGCCAGGTCGGGGTGGAGGAGCAGCGGCTGCCAAGCCGACCTCGCTGCCCGCCTTGCGGGACACTGCTGCACCGAGGCCTCAGCTGCACATGCTGCTGAGTGTGAAGTCACCACCGTGCAACCCTAGCCCTCAGCACAGGCGCAGTGGCCCCCCGACTCCCACTGCGGGGATTAGGTGAGCCTGGGCCCGGGGAGGGCTGAGCATTTGGGCGCGCGGGGGTGGAGAGGGCACCAGCGTGAGTCACTCTCCCACCTCCAGGCCCATGCAGGAGCCACCCTGGACGGCTGACAGGCATTCCCAGCTGACCTGGTCAGACTCCCTGCAGAGGCCTGGCCCTCCCCGCTGCCCCCCTCTTCCTTTATTTTGGTTTGTTGCCGGCTCCCGGGTAACAAGAGACCCAAGAGCGCTTGCACAACTGTGGCAGGCAGGGCACAGGTGCCCAGGCCCCCTGAGGTCCCGGGCTGAGGGACAGGAGCTCTGGCTGAGAAAGCAAAGGGCTGCCGCGGACATTCCCTACGCCGCACTGGGCCCCTTACATAACCTCCTGGCTTCCACAGCGACCCCACAGCGGTAGCACGACCGTCAGCACACCGCCCACCCCTGCTTTACAGAGCAGGAAACCGAGGCACGGAGGTGCTAAGCCCCAAGCACGGAGCCTAGGAGCACACGCCAGGCCCCACGCAGGCAGACTGGCACCAAAGCGCAGCACTGACCGCCGCCTCCTGCTGCCGCAGACAAGCCGGGAGGAGTCACGCCGGCCTGGACCCTGCCGCACCTCCTCCAGCCCAGTGCAGAGAGTCCACGGTCTCCTCCTTCGCCTCCTCCTCTCCGGGTCAACACCTGAGTGCCCTGTCTTCCTTCAGGCCCCGCTTCCCAGACTCCCTTGGGGGTGCCCCCTGGGAGCTTGTCAGGCCCAGCCCCCAAGCTCCCGAACCAGAACCTGCGTGTCCGCCGAGTCCCCAGGGACGCGGACGTGGACCCTATCGACGACATCGCCACCAGTGGCCCGTGTGACCAACGCCTGATGATTTCTGGGCGGATCACTAGTGCCCGCCCGCTGGAAGCGCAGTGTTAGTTTGTGAAGACGGAGCGCGAGCCCCCTGCCGTTTGTGACCCCCCCCAACAAGAGCTCCGCTGCACAGGAGGGCCTTGGCTCGCAGCCAGCACCCGCCCCCCCCGTGGAGGGTTTTGCGGGGGCAGCTCAGGCACTGCCTCTCAAAGCCAGGCCTGCCTGCCCCAGCCCTCAACTTCTAGGACTCAGTTGTGGGGTCCGTGCCCTCTGGTCACTTCCCCTCTTCATGGCTTTGAGTGGAACACCTGCCATGCTGGGAACCTGTGTGACACCTCACGTCTGCAGAGCTGCTCCACCTCCCCCCAGGCCCCACTGCATCTGAGGACAGGAGGGAAGAAGTAAAGGCCCCCTGAGCGTCTCCACCTTCTGTGAGGGGTGGAGCTTCCAGCATGCAAGTCCTCTGATCCTCTAAGGCCCAGGCGCGCAGGGAAGACTGAGCTGTCCCACATGATTGTCGGGGGGGGGGGCAGATCATGCCATGCTCCTTGGCTACAGAATAAAGAAAAGAGAGAGTGGGAAGGAAAAATAAATGCACCCCCCCCAACATATACCTGAAGGAAAAAGAAAAAAAGCACCTTTTAGCATGAGAATTCATGAACACAACCTCTGAGGACACATCTATAGGTGTTTTGCTCGCTGGGATGATGCAGGGCAGAGGTGAGAGAAAACTCTTACACATGGAAGGGCTGCTCTTGTCACAATGAGGCCTTTCCCCTGCAGCACCGTGAATGCTGGTTTCAGGTAGCCCCCCATGAAGTAAGGCAAGGAATGCACTCCTTCTTTCTTTGGTGGCACACCTGTCTCACAGGCCCAGCTCGGGTGGTCTCCCCACCCCCCACCCCCAAAAGCTCCATCCCTGGGAGTCACGGCCCACCAGCCGGTGCAGATACACACGAATGCCGGACCAGAAACAAAGTGCTGGTCTTGACCTCTGACTTTCTCACAAAACTAGGGTGCACCCCTCACTCCTTTCAGCTCTCCATCCCATCTGTCCCAAGTTCCTCTTCTGCTCCCCCAGGACTGACCCCTGACACTGCTCTGCACAGACCCCAACAGCCCTGCCACCCCCACTCCTGGATTCTGCCCTAATGAGATGCCAGTTCTGAGACTGGGGGAGCAGTTTCGGCCGGGGCACAGCAGCCGAGCGTGCCCGTCCCCACCAGCACTTGACCCTGAGCATCGGGGACAGAGAAGGAAGTGCAGCCCTGCACAGCTAGGAGAACTCGATAGTGAGTGGAACGTCCGCTTGCAAAGAGCAGTGATGAATGAACTGACCCCGATGTCGTGGGAGTCGTCTGACAGCATCCAGAGAATTCCGTCCCCTGGCTCTTCCCCGTTCAACATTTTTATCAATGACTTGGCTGGGCATAAAGGGCTGCCTGCTTATCAAATTGTCTGACGACGCCCCGTTGAGAAAGATAGAAACATGTCAGATGACCCAGGTGGGATCCAAAAAGATTTCAGCAGCCTTGAGTGATGGGCCACGGCCTACAAGATGAAACGCAAGAGCCAAGTGGAAGCTCCTTCCCCTGGGTCCTCAACACGAACTACGAAGACACAGTGGGGAGCCCCAGCGGGACGTGAAGCAGGCTGGCTTGGGGGCCAGCCAGAGGCGAGGACCGCGTGAGTGTCGGCACGTCTCTCAGTGTAATATCATCACCTTGAAAGGGGCAACGTTTGCACAGACACAGACGTTGCCTCTGTGACCCGGGTGGTAGCGAGGCTGCGCCGAGGTCCCACCTGCACAGGGCTCAGCGCGGTGCCCGCGCAGAGGAAGTGTGCGTCGTGAGAGCTGCGCGCCGCTATTACGGACACCACAGCAGAGGGGCACCTGTCCCACTCAACACGCCTCGGCCTCCAGAGGCACAGGACAGCTGTCCCCGAGGATGGAAAGGACGCGGAGGATGGTTTCTAAAGGTGAGGAGGAGGAGCTCCACCTGGGACGGGTGCAGGACCGTCCTAAGCTTGTTCGGGCTGCCGCTGTCTGCAGGCGGCATCGAATACCCCCTTTTCTGCGTCTCCAGGCCCCAGGCACGTAGAGCACAGTACTGACGACAGCATGCTGCAGTAATCCGCTTCTGGGAACACCTTCACCATTCCCTTCTGAGTCCCTCAAAGGCCAGAGGGGCCCGCTATGTCCATAACACCCAGCACGGCGCCAGGCACATAGTAGCTGGCAGAATACACTGGGTTCCAATGGCCTCCTGTGAAAGGGGAGAGCTCACCTTTGGGCTAGCCACATGCCAGCACTGCCAGCCTTGTCAGCAAGTGGCAGCTCAAAGGTCACTATATCCTTGGCCCTAGGAGGCAAAGGGCCAACTCTCTGCTCGACTTGGGGCTTTGTTGCCATGGACACCTGACACAGTTTCTAAGAGAGAGCCAAGACCTGCTCATCCTGGTCCCATCAGGGGCCAGACCTGGGGTGCTGACAGGTGTGGGACGTCCATCAGGCCTTTGCAGCTGGGCCAGCCCCAAGGCTTGCGGCCTCTGGGCCTCAGAGCTGAAGTATCAGGTCACAAACAAACTGGAACAAAGGGCTCCTAAGGTCAGGTTCCCGGCGTGGGGTGGGGGAGAAACGGAAAGATCAGCCATCAAGGCCGCCAACCCAGATGCGCCCTTCTGCTTCAATGAAGGCCGCGGAGACTCCCAGCCAGGACTGCAGGGACCGGGTGCCAAACCGAACAGGGGTATGACTTCCGTGGGGAGGGGCTCTGAGGACGAGGCCACGCGCCAGCCCGTGACATATTCATTCAGTCATTCCCTTCACAAACATGTGGTAATCACCATTCTGTAGTAAGGAGGAGGCATAACACCATAGCATAGGAGCTCAGAGCCAAAGCTCTGGAAGCAGACAACTTAGATTCCTGTCCAGGGTCTACCGATTCTAGTGGTGTGACATTTCACAAGTCACATACACACTCAGGACCTCAGTTCCCCATCACTAAAACGTGGATTGTCACTGACACAAAGGGTTGTTTTTACTGAAATGAGTAATGCATGTGAAAAGTGTGACTCAGTGTCTGATGGATAATAAATGCTCGATAGAAATCAACAGTTAATATCATCAAACCCTAGGATGGCCTCAAAGAGATTAGGGTGAAAAAAATACAGTTCCTGCCCTTAACTCACAGGAAGTAGTGGAAGAGACAGACCTACATGTAAGCTTCTCCGGAGAGATCTGACTGTAACAGCTGCAAGGTGAGAGACACGAGAAGGAAGAATTTTTCCTGCCTAGAGAAGCTGGACAAAGTTCACCGGAGAAGGTGGTCCTTGCACTTGACCTCAGAGGAGTCCCAGGCGGAAGAGCGCAGAGCGGCGGTCCAGCCAGACACAAGTAGGAGTGTGTGAACGGCACGCCTGTGCAAGAGAGTTTGGCATACTTGACACGATAAGGGGTTGCTGTGCCAGCGACAGAGCATTTGCAAGGAAGCCGTGGGGGTAACTCGGGCCAGATACAACAGTCTTATTTTCCATTACGTGGAATGGGATCCCAGTGGGAAGTGGCAAGCAGGGAAGGGACACAGGTTAAGTTCACGTTCGTGTTTAGATTCCTTCTCCCTCCGTGGACACACAAGCTATCTCCCCCGCCCCCCAGGCCTTGGAAGGTTCTCTTCAGCAGTTAAACAATGAACAAGGATGCGCAGAACTCTGTGAACACGTGAGAGACTCTGGACTTATCCACCGGAGATGTGATGACCGACACTTTTGCTGAGCCACCTGAACAGAGCCGAAACACCCTGACAGCCCGGCTGCCTGTGAGTAGGAAGCCAGATCCATGGAAGTGACAAAACCCCTTGTCCCCCTTCACAGTTTTCTCCCCGTCTCTCCTGGCGTGGGACCTTCCCTCTTCGCTAACCGGCCTCCTTTCCCCCGCAAAGAAACGATGATCTGCAGTTAGCCAGGATCACCATGGTGACCAGCTGGGATGAGGCCCCTCAGAGAAGCGTGTGACATTTAAGGCTTCTTCTACCTTCTGTCATCTGATAGCAACAAAGACATCAGCACATTTTAGAGAATTATTGAACACCCGAAGTAGCCGAGATTATTTGAAGGGTAAAGAAGAACTGACTCTCAGTAGATGTCCTTCCCGGGTGACTTGAAAGTTGACATCAGTGAGCCCTTTAAGAATGCTTAGGAATGGAGTTCATGAGTCACCGTATGATA